GGTCTTCAGGGTACCTATTTGAAAGCATGTAATTTTCTTTCCCCTGCCACACTACGAGAGCACTTAAGGGTACTTAATTTCGTCCTCATCACGCTATGAGAGTGCTTCGAGGCCTAACGTCTTGTCGCAACCGTCGCACTAGGTTCCCTCCCACCGTGCTATGTGACTGTGTATGGTGGTCCATCGACTCGCCGCAAGGATCGAAAGCGGAGTTTTTGGGTTTTAGAACTTTATACCTTAGCGAGGGGATACTTGCAATGTCGGCACGTAGATCGAGGAGAACAAATTTCTCTCATTTTCATTTTTTATTTCCTACTCTTTTTTATATTTTCTTTTGCATATTTTTATTTTCCCTTTTCTTCCCTCTTTTTTTTGCATGTACATGCACACACACACATATAAGAATAGGGAAAACTTAATGATTGGATGATGGATTTGATCTTCTAGGTAAGAGATTGATTTTTTTTTTTTTTTTCGAATTCCTGTAGGGCGATTTGGGGTGGGTAGCGTGTATAGTTGAGGTGGTGTGATTTTGGGCTTTAGATTTTTTTTTAAATAGGCCTGAGTTGTAGAATGAGACGGGCTATTAGTGGAGGGGATTGTTTTGGCTGTTGTTTGGAATGGATTCAATATGGTTGTTTGGACGTGTGGGCTGTATGAGAATGGTGGGTTAATTTGAGAGGGCTTTGGATTGTAATGGGCTTTCTTGAATTCAACCTAAGACCAACATGAAGAAGACAAGGATAGCTGGAAAAGAGAAAGAAAAAAAGTTGCAGAGCAGTTGGTTTATGCGGAGGAAAGCATCAACTATATGGCGTGGGGATTGTGGACTTCAGAGAAGGTCTAGAAGAAATTAGGCATATAGGGAGGTTTGCGGCTGGGAGTGACATGAGAAAACTCAGTAGTTATTTTAAATATCAGATTTGGTTCCACGTAATTTATTTAAGTTCTATTCACAACTGTTTTGTTCAAATCCTTTGTAGATTTGTTCAATTCAAGTCCTCTGAAAAACTAGGTAGCCTCCCAGCATCTCCACTATTTAGGAAAGTTTTGGGGAGCTGGGCTTTCCTATTACGCTACGAAAAGCGTGTATAGTAGGTGTTAGGCGTCATTGCACCCGTAGTTTTTAATCCCACCACGCTAATAAAAGCATGTATGGGTCTTCAAGGTACTTGTTTAAAAATGCGCAATTTTTCTTGCTTGTATAGAAGCATGTGCACTGGTACTTAAGAGTGTCCTCGCGATGCTAAGAAAAGTGTGTACAAGGCCTACCCGCCTCGTTGTTTCACATCATGTTCCCTCCCACCACGCTAATAAAAGCATGTATATGTGGTTTTCTAGTGCACTATGAGTCCAAAAGCGGGATTTGAGGGTTTTATTGAGTTTCAGAGCATTATACCTTTGCGAGTGAGGGCAACGACGACGGTGTCGAGGCGGCGACGATGGCGAATGCACAAATAATTTCTTTTTTTTTTTACTTTTTTTTTTCTTTCTTTTTTATAATAATATTAATCAATAATAATAATAGTAAATAATAATAATGATAATAACAAAAAGATGACTGTTGAGGATGATTTCGGTTGCTATTGTAGTTGCTGGAGAGATTCGGTTGAGTGTAGGACTATAACTTGTGAAGGCTGAAAGTAGAAGAGGTAGTGACTACAGTTAGAGGTCGAGAGAGAAATAGGCATATGCGGTTGGCTGCAAGAGAGGATTGACCTATAGTGAGGATCTTGGCTGAGTCAACTGGTTGAGTGTGGGGCTGGGAGGCCATCTGGTTTGATTGTTTGGTTATTGGAGCAGGATCGAGCAAAGTGTTCGCGGTTTTGTGTGAAGGTCAGCTGGTCTGCAGCTTTGAAGGCCGGTTGATTGATTGTGAAGGAGGATTAGGCTTAGGGTTGGGACTAGTTGTGGATGGTCGGGTCGACGGGTGGCTTCAACGAGCTAGCGGCGTCGGTTGAGGGAACCGCGGGTCGGACGTTGGGTTGGTGTTGTGAACGGGAGAAGGTTGATTTGCTAGTTAGCGTCCACTGTTGGTTTTGGCTATTTGGGGTTGTGGACGGATGCTTGTGGGATCAGATGTGGTGATGTGAGGCTAAAGTCGACGGGAGGCTAACAGACGGACAGCTGTTTGAGGGGGCTTGGAGATAAAAAATGATGAAGAAAGTAGGACGGACAGGAGGTTTAGAGATGGAGCTATTGCTACTTGTTGAGGATGGAGGTTGCTGTGGAGTTAAAACGAACGAAGCCTTGTGTTATAGTCTTCGACCTCCTTTAAAGACGAAATTAATCACGAAGAACAGCGGGATTTGATTAAAGAACAATGGGATTTACCTGATTCAACAGAGATTTGAGATCGACCTCTCGAAGGTAACATTAATTTGATTTGAAACTTGATTTTGATTTGATTTTTTTATTTAATAATAATAATATTTTTATTATCATTATTATTAAATTTTGAAAAGACAAAATTGATTCAATCACTTAAAATTATATTGATTTGCGTGCAGTTCCTCGATTTGCTCGTAATTGTATCGCAACATGGGCTGATTTGCTCGCACTGCTTTTGTTGGACAAATTTACAATGATTTTTTAGTATTGTCGATGTTGAAAATGCAACAACGAAGTTCATTTTACGATTGGTCGGTTTTTGGGCAATATTGTGCGTCAATTTCCTTGACTTGCGCGCGTTGCCTCGAGATGCATGCCAATTTTCTAGCGCGACTTTAATTGTTCAAACTAAGTGTCACTTTTGGGTATTGGCGGTGTTCCGAACCCAACAACGAAGTCTATTTTGCAATCGAGCATCATTCATGCGACGTCGCGATTTAATTTTCTCGGCTTGTGCGTCATCGCCTCGGAATTCATTCTGTTTCGTCGGGCAATTCCAATTGAACAAGTTGATAATGATTCTTGGGAGTCGACGTTGTTCCAGGTGCAATAACAAAACTCATTTTGCGATCGAACGTCATTTGGGCGATGTCGCGCGTCAATTTTGGTTGTCGGTCGTCCCTTCTGACTGATCTCGTTCAATTTGAGTGCGAGGGATCCCCTCTCATGCGAACTCAATGTCCTGATTGCAACAGTGCAGTCCATTTGATTCTTGGAGGTCGTTTGACTCTTCAAGTGACGCGTCGCGTCGACGCGCGTGTTGCTTTATTCACCGATTTTTCCCTTTTTGCATGTGGTTTGATGTGTAGGGGTCAACATAGTTCATACCTCAATTCTTAGTCATGAGGTCATTTTCGATCCCTTCTTTTCACACTATTGTTCTGATTGGAAACACTTGAAATCAAGTATTTCCTATTCACCTTTACAGCAAATCTCCACGAAATACTGCTGTCCGGAGCAGGAAAATAGTAAAAACAGCGGAAAAATTGTAGAAAACTAAGAGAAATTCGTAGGAAAAACTTGTATTTTACTAGTAGAAGAAGAAAACAGCAAAGATACAATTGATCCTCAATTCGAGAGGAGGATCGATCTCTCCCAAATCTCTAGACGCCGCTAGAGCCCAAAGAAAACCTAAATCTAAGAGATCTCAAATTTCAGCCAAATTCAAGATGATCAAACCCTAGGAAAATCTACTATTTAATGCATACAAATCAAAAGGAAATCCCTAAACAGTCCCTACATTCAAATTCCCCTCTTAATTTCCCCAAAAAAGCTTCCTATTCGGCTCCCGCAAGGCACGCGGTGCGCGCGGCCTCCGCCCAGGCGAACAGATCGCCTGTTTCGCGACTTGGCCGGTCCCGCCTGGACCGGTCCACTGGACCGGTCTAACAATACTCCCCTCCCGAAAATCCACCTTGTCCTCAAGGTGGAGATATGCTCGTGTTCCGGTGGAGGTGGCCATCCTTGAGGTGACTGAAAATCCTTACTGTATTGCGGAACCAAGGGCTGCACAGAACGAGAAACATCCTCTCCCTCCTCTAAACTGATCGCCTCCATCGGCGACGGAG